AAGGTTGGTGGTTCGAGCTCAACCGGGGGTGAAACCTTTTATGCAAAGTGGATGTTCACTTTATGAAAATCCAGCACGTATAATACAAACTGAATACCATGTTACACATAGTATGTCATTGCATTATCATTTTTTACAGTTCTGGTCTTTAAACCTTAGACATAACTTTGCAATAATAACTTTTTCCCTGTTACAAATTTTAAGCTCTTCAAAGATTGTGACATCAATTTTCTTTTCTCTATACAGAGCCTGTGGCGCAATCGGCTAGCGCGTTCGGCTGTTAACCGAAGGTTGGTGGTTCGCCACCGGGGCGAAGCTTTTAATGAAAGAGGATGTTTATAATTTGTGAAAATCCAGCACTATAGTCAAACTGAATACCATGTTACACTAGTATGTCATTGCTTATCATTTTTACAGTTCTGGTATTAAACCTACATAACTTTGCAATAATAACTTTCCTTTCCAAATTTTAAGCTCTTCAAGAATTGACATCAATTTTCTTTTCTCAAAGAGCCTCCGTGGCGCAATCGGCTAGCGCGTTCGGCTGTACAAGGTTGGTGGTTCGAGCCACCGGGGCGAAACCTTTTATGCAAAGTGGATGTTCACTTTATGAAAATCAGCACGTATAATACAAACTGAATACCATGTTACACATAGTATGTCATTGCATTATCTTTTTACAGTTCTGGTTTTAAACCTTAGCATACTTGCAAAAAATAACTTTCCTGTTACAAATTTTAAGCTCTTCAAAGTTGTGACATCAATTTCTTTTCTTTAAAGCCCCGTGGCGCAATCGGCTAGCGTTCGGCTGTTAACCGAAAGGTTGGTGGTTCGAGCACCCGGGGAAATTTTTTATGAAAAGGGCTGTTTTTATACGAAAATCCAGCACGTATAATACAAACTGAATCATGTTACATAGTATGTCATTGCATTATCATTTTTTACAGTTCTGTTTTAAACCTTAGACATATCTTTGCAAAAAATAACTTTTCCCTGTTACAAATTTTAAGCTCTTCAAAGATTGTGACATCAATTTCTTTTTTCTTGGCCTCCGTGGCGAATCCTGGCGTTCGGTGTTAACCGAAAGGTTTGGTTGAACCCCCGGGGGAAACTTTTAAAAAAGGTGTTTACTTTATAAATCAGATATATTACAAAACGAATCATGTTAACTAGTATTCATTGCAATCTTTTTCAGTTCTGGTTTAAACCTTGAAAACTTTTTCTTTTAAATTTTAAGCCTAAAGATTTGAACATTTTTTTCCTGGACTCCTGGCGAATCGCTACTTCGGTGTTACCGAAGGTTGGGTTCGAACCACCGGGAAACTTTTTGAAAGTGATTTCCTTTATGAAATCAACGTTAATACAACATCCATTTACACATAGTATTCTTATCATTTTACGTTCTGTTTTAAATTAGACATAACTTTCAAAAACTTTTTCCTTTCAAATTTAAGCTCTTCAAAATTGTGACATCATTTTCTTTTTTTTACGACCTCGTGGCGCAATCGGTAGGGTTGCTGTTAACGAAGGTTGGGTTCGAGCCCCCGGGAAACTTTTAATGAAAGGGTTTTACTTTATGATCCAGACGTATAATACAAACCGAATACCATGTTACACCTAGTATGTCGTTGCATTATCATTTTTTACTGTTCTGGTATTTAAACCTCAGACATAAGTTTGCAAATAATAACTTTTTTCCTGTTCCAAATTTTAAGCTCTTCAAAAATTCTGACATCAATTTTTCTTTTTCTCAGTTACAGAGCCTCCGTGGCGCAATCGGCTAGCGCGTTCGGCTGTTAACCGAAAGGTTGGTGGTTCGAGCCCACCCGGGGGCGAAACCCTTTTTTATGCAAAGTGGCTGTTCACTTTATGAAAATCCAGCACGTATAATACAAACTGAATACCATGTTACACATAGTATGCCATTGCATTATCATTTTTACAGTTCTGGTCTTTTTAAACCTTAGACATATCTTTGCAAAAAATAACTTTTCCCTGTTACAAATTTTAAGCTCTTCAAAGATTGTGACATCAATTTTCTTTTTCTCTATAACAGAGCCTCCGTGGCGCAATCGGCTAGCGCGTTCGGCTGTTAACCGAAAGGTTGGTGGTTCGAGACCACCCGGGGCGAAACCCTTTTTTATGAAAAGTGGATGTTCACTTTATGAAAATCCAGCACGTATAATACAAACTGAATACCATGTTACACATAGTATGTCATTGCATTATCATTTTACAGTTCTTGTCTTTAAACCTTAGACATAACTTTGCAAAAAATAACTTTTCCCTGTTACAAATTTTAAGCTCTTCAAAGATTGTGACATCAATTTTCTTTTTCTCTATAATAGAGCCTCCGTGGCGCAATCGGCTAGCGCGTTCGGCTGTTAACCGAAAGGTTGGTGGTTCGAGCCACCCGGGGCGAAACCCTTTTTTATGCAAAGTGGATGTTCACTTTATGAAAATCCAGCACGTATAATACAAACTGAATACCATGTTACACATAGTATGTCATTGCATTATCATTTTTTACTGTTCTGGTATTTTTAAAGCTTAGACATAACTTTGCAAAAAATAACTTTTTCCCTGTTACAAATTTTAAGCTCTTCAAAGATTGTGACATCAATTTTTCTTTTTCTCTAGTTACAGAGCCTCCGTGGCGCAATCGGCTAGCGCGTTCGGCTGTTAACCGAAAGGTTGGTGGTTCGAGCCCACCCGGGGGCGAAACCCTTTTTTATGCAAAGTGGATGTTCACTTTATGAAAATCCAGCACGTATAATACAAACTGAATACCATGTTACACATAGTATGTCATTGCATTATCATTTTTTACAGTTCTGGTATTTAAACCTTAGACATAACTTTGCAAAAAATAACTTTTTCCCTGTTACAAATTTTAAGCTCTTCAAAGATTGTGACATCAATTTTCTTTTTCTCATACAGAGCCTCCGTGGCGCAATCGGCTAGCGCGTTCGGCTGTTAACCGAAAGGTTGGTGGTTCGAGCCCACCCGGGGCGAAACCCTTTTTTATGCAAAGTGGATGTTCACTTTATGAAAATCCAGCACGTATAATACAAACTGAATACCATGTTACACATAGTATGTCATTGCATTATCATTTTTTACAGTTCTTGTCTTTAAACCTTAGACATATCTTTGCAAAAAATAACTTTTCCCTGTTACAAATTTTTAAGCTCTTCAAAGATTGTGACATCAATTTTTCTTTTTTCTCTATAACAGAGCCTCCGTGGCGCAATCGGCTAGCGCGTTCGGCTGTTAACCGAAAGGTTGGTGGTTCGAGCCCACCCGGGGGCGAAACCCTTTTTTATGCAAAGTGGATGTTCACTTTATGAAAATCCAGCACGTATAATACAAACTGAATACCATGTTACACATAGTATTCATTGCATTATCATTTTTTTCAGTTCTGGTTTAAAAACCCTTTGACATAACTTTGCAAAAATAACTTTTCCCTGTTACAAATTTTAAGCTCTTTTAAAGATTGTGACATCAATTTTCTTTTTTCTCTTTAAAGAGCCTCCGTGGCGCAATCGGCTAGCGCGTTCGGCTGTTAACCGAAAGGTTGGTGGTTCAGGAGCCACCCAGGGGCGAAACCGCTACATGCCAAAATGGACGTTCGCACAAATTCAAAGCGCGTATAATACAAACGGAATAACATGTTAGACATAGTATGTCATTGCATTATCATTTTTTACAGTTCTGGTCTTTAAACCTTAGACATAACTTTTGCAAATAATAACTTTTCCACAGTGCGAATTTGGCTCTTCAAAAGATTGTGACATCAATTTTCTTTTTCTCTATAACAAGAGCCTCCGTGGCGCAATCGGCTTCAGAGCATTCTAGGCTGTTAACCGAAGGTTGGTGGTTCGAGCTACCGGGGCGAAACCCTTTTATGCAAAGTGGCTGTTCACTTTATGAAAATCCAGCGTATAATACAAACTGAATACCATGTTACATGGTATGTCATTTGCATTATCATTTTTTACTGTTCTGGTATTTTTAAATCTTGGAGCATAACTTTTGCAAAAAATAACTTTTTTCCCTATTACAAATTTTAAACTCTTCATAGATTGTGACATCAATTTTCTTTTCTCTATAAGCAGGCCTCCATTGGCGCAATCGGCTAGCGCGTTCGGCTGTTAACCGGGTTGGTGGTTCGAGCCCACCGGGGGCAAAAACCCTTTTATGCAAAGTGGATGTTCACTTTATGAAAATCCAGCACGTATAATACAAACTGAATATGTTACTGCAGTTTGTGTTGCATTATCGTTTTTACAGTTCTTGTCTTTAAACCTTAGACATATACTTACTGAAACAGCACCTATTTAGGATTTTAAGCTCTTCAAAGATTGTGACATCAATTTTCTTTTTCTCCATAACAATTGCTCCGTGGCGCAATCGGCCTGTGCGTTAAAACATGCTTAGAAAGGTTGGTGATTCAGGCCACCCGGGGGCTGAAAACCCTTTTATGCAAAATGAAGGACGTTCACTTTATCAGCGCGTATAATACCGGCAGGGAAGAATCGCCATTGTTAGACCACGCTAGTATGTGGTGCATTATCATTTTTACAGTTCTGGTCTTAATATTTTAAACGCCAAAGACCTTAACTTTACAAATAATAACTTTTCCCTGTTCCAAATTTTTAAAGCTCTTCAAGATTGTGACATCAATTTTTCTTTTTCTATAACAGAGCCTCGGCTTTCAAATCAGCTGGCTGACTGTTAACCGAAAGGTTGGTGGTTCAGGCTTACCCACGAGCGATAGCGCAATGAGAGACTATTTATATACTTTGTGAAAATCCAGCTCATATCTCAGCTCGGAATACCCATGTACACCCTGAGTATGTCGTTGCATTATCATTTTTTACTGTTCTGGTATATAAACTCAGACATAAGTTGCAAATAATAACTTTTCCTGTTCCCCAAATTTTGACTCCCCAAAAGATTTCACCGGTATAATTTTCTTTTATCTCAGTTACAGAGCCTCCGTGGCGCAATCGGCGGCTATAGCGCGTTCGGCTGTTAACCGGGTTGGTGGTTCGAGCCCACCCGGGGGCGGCGCGCCATACCTAAAGTGGATGTTCGCACGCTGAAAATCCAGCGTATAATACAAAATGAATACCATGTTACACATAGTATGTCATTGCATTATCATTTTTACTATTCTTGATGGCGCGAGCTTGAGGTATACTTTGCAAAATAACTTTTTCCTGTTACAAATTTTAAACTCTTCAAAGATTTGTGACATCAATTTTTTCTTTTTATATAACAGAGCACTCCGTGGCGCAAAATCGGCTTTAAGCATTTCGACTTATTAACGAAAGGTTGGTAGTTTCGAGCCCACCCGGGGGTTGAAGCCCTTTTATGCAAAGTGGATGTTCCTTTATGAAAATCAGCACGTATAATACAAAATTGAATACCATGTTGCCCCGCATAATTATGTCATTGCATTATCATTTTACTGTTCTGGTATTTTAAAGCTTAGACATAACTTTGAAAAATAACTTCCCCTGTTACAAATTTTTAGCTCTTCAAATGTTAGCGAGCATCAATTTTTCTTTTTCTCTATAAACGAGCCTCCGGCTGGCGCAATCGGCTTCAACGCATTCGGCTGTTATCCGAAAGGTTGGTGGTTCGAGGAGCCCACCGGGGGCAGAAACCACTTTTTATCTGAAAGTGAGATTATTTACTTCACCAGAAATCCGGCGCAGCTATAATACCGCTGGGCAACATACCCAGGCACCCAGTATGTCATTGCATTATCGTTTTTACAGTTCTGGTCTTTAAACCTTAGACATAACTTTGCAAATAATAACTTTTTCCCTGTTCCCAGTACAAGCTCTTCAAGATTGCTTGACATCAATTTTCTTTTTATCTCCAGTTACAGGACCTCGGCAATCGGCTGGCGCGTTAACATTAGCGAGGTTGGTGGTTAGGCACCAGGGGCGAAACACTTTTTATGCCTAAAGTGGCTGTTCACTTTATGAAAATCCAGCACGTATATTACAAACTGAATACCATGTTACATGGCCTTCTGCATTGCATTATCATTTTTACTGTTCTGGGCCATTTTTAAAGCTTAGACTTATAACTTTTTGCAAAAATAACTTTTCCCTGTTACAAATTTTAAAGCTCTTTACAAATATTGTGACATCAATTTTACCTCTTTCTCTATAACGACACTTCCGCATTTCTGACTGGCGCAGTTGGAAACATCCAGCTTCGAAAAGGGTTAAGTGGGTTAGACTTACCAGGGCGACACTTTTATGCAAAATGGCTGTTCACTTTATGAAAATCCAGCACGTATAATACAAACTGAATACCATGTTACACATAGTATGTCATTGAATTATCGTTTTTTACAGTTCTTGTCTTTAAACCTTAGACATAATAATATTTACCGCTAAAAAATAACTTTTCCTGTTACAAATTTTAAGCTGTTCGCGGGTTGCCCGTATAATTTTCTTTATCGCTATAACGGCGTAGCCTCCATTGGCACCAATCGGCTGCTTGCGTTCGGCTGTTAACCGAAGGTTGGTGATTTCGAGCCCACCCAGGGCAGCTTTTAATGAAAGAGGCTATTTATATATATATATATACTTTGTGAAAGTCAAGCACGGCCGCAGCCTGAAACAAATTTCGTTACCTGTATGTCATTGCATTATCATTTTTTTACAGTTCTTGTCTTTTAAACCTTAGATAACTTTGCAAAAATAACTTTTCCACTATTACAAATTTTGAAAGCTGCTAAAGGTGGCGACTTCGATTTTTCTTTTATCTCCAGTTACAGAGCCTCCGTATGGCGCAATCGGCTAGCGCGTTCGGCTGTTAACCAGGTTGGTGGTTCCGAGCCTTGCCGGGGGCGAAACCCTTTACAATAAAAGTGGCTGTTCACTTTATAAAATCCAGCACGTATAATACAAACTGAATACCATGTTACGTAGTATGTCATTTATCATTTTTTACTGTTCCTGGTATTTTAACAGACACCAACTTGCAAAAATAACTTTTCCTGTTACAAATTTTAAAGCTCTTCGCCAGATTGTGACGCATCAATTTTTCTTTTCCATATAGAGCCTCCATTGGCGCAATCGGCTAGCGCGTTCGGTTGTTTAACCGAAAGGTTAATTTCAGGCCACCAGAGGCAGAAACCACTTTATGCAAAGTGGATGTTCACTTTGAAAATCCAACACGTATAATACAAACTGAATACCATGTTACACATAGTTTGTCATTGCATTTATCGTTTTTGGATCTGATATTTCGGCGCGGAGCCTTATCTTTGCAAAAATAGCACTTTCCTGTTACAAATTTTAAGCTATTCAAAGTTGTGACATCAATTTTACTTTTATCTCTCTATATACAGAGCCTCCCGTGGCGCAATCGGCTAGCGCGTTCGGCTGTTAACCGAAAGGTTGGTGGTTCGAGCCCACCCGGGGGCGAAACGCTTTTATCACAAAAGTGGCGTTCACTTTGTAAGGGAATTCCAGCACGTATATAATACAAACTGAATACCATATTACACATGGTATGCCATTGCATTATCATTTTTTGCTGTTCTGGTATTTTTAAAACGAACATAACTGCAAAAATAACTTTTCCCTATTCACGTTTGGCTCTTCAAAATTAGGCGCAGTTTCTTTTCTCTATAACAGGCCTCCGCGGCGCAATCGGCTAGCGCGGTCGTGATAACCGAAGGTTGGTGTGGTTCGAGGCCACCGGGGCGAAACCATATGCAAATGGCTGTTCGCTGCCAAGAAAGAAATCCGGCACATATAAATACAACTTCGCGTTCTGCCTGGTATGTCATTGAATTATCGTTTTTACAGTTCTTATCTTCAAACCTTAGACATATCTTTTGCAAAAAATAACTTTTCCTAATTACAAATTTTAAGCTGTTCGGAATTGTGACATCAATTTTCTTTACATCTCTACTCTTGTAGCCTCATACTTGGCGCAATCGGCTTCCGCTTGCCGTTTAAAACATTTAACCGAAGGTTGGTGGTTCGAGCCCACCCGGGAGCTTTTAATGAAAAGGCTATTTGTAGCATATATATATACTTTGTGAAAGTCCAGCCTCATCTACAGAAACTCAGATACCATGTTACACATGGCCTCATGTATTTGCATTATCATTTTACAGTTCTTTTCTTTAAACCTTAGGCCTGCTTTGCAAAAAATAGCTTTTCCCTGTTACAAATTTTAAGCTCTTCAAAGATTGTGACATCAATTTTTTCTTTTATCTCAGTTACCAGAGCCTCCGTGGCGCAATCGGCTCACTTGCGTTTAAACTAACCGAAAGGTTGATTAGTTCGAAGGCCATCCGGGGCGAGCCTTTTTATGCAAAGTGGCTGTTCACTTTATGAAAATCAGCACGTATAATAAACTAGATACCATGTTACACATGGTATGCCAAATTGCATTTATCATTTTTTACTGTTCTGGTATTTTTAAAGGCTTAGACATAACTTTGCAAAAATAACTTTCCACTGGCATTACTGGAAATTTTAAGCTCGCTATTGTGACATCAATTTTTCTCTATAGAGCCTCCGCGGCGCAATCATTTCAGCGCGGTCGGCTGTTAACCGAAAGGTTGGTGGTTTCGAGCCCCACCGGGGACGAAACCCTTTTATGCAAATGGCTGTTCACTTTATGAAAATCCAGCACGTATAATACAAACTGAATACCAGCTGTTACACATAATTATCATGTTTAAATTCTCGTTTTTACAGTTCTTGTCTTTAAACCTTAGACACCATCTTTGCAAAAATAACTTTTCCTGTTACAAATTTTAAGCTATTCAAAGTTACGGCATCAATTTCTTTTTATCTCTATAACGTAGCCTCGGCGGCACAATCAGCTTCTTGCTGGCTGTAACCAGAAGGTTGAGTGGTTCAAGCCCACCGGGGCGAAACTTTAATGAAAGGCTGTTGCATGTATATACTTTGTGAAAGTCCAGCACATTTATAATACAAACTCGAATACCATATTACACACTAGTACTGTCATTGCATTATCATTTTTTTTGCAGTTCTTTTCTTTAGGCAACCCAGACCAACTTTTGCAAAAATAACTATTTTATGCGTTTTAGAAGCTCTTCAAAAGATTGGCATCAGATTTTTCTTTTATCTCTTTCAGTTACCGACCTCCGTGGCGCAATCCGTTAACGCGTTTGGCTGTTAACCGAAAGGTTGATTGGTTTCGAGCCCGCAGGGCGAAACCCTTTTATGCAAAGTGGATGTTCACTTTAGCGAAAATCCACCACGTATAATACAAAATGAATACCATGTTACACATAGTATGCATCATTTTACTGTTCTGGTATTTTTAAAGCAGACATAACTTTTGCAAAAATAACTTTTCCTGATACAAATTTAAAATACTTCAAATATTGTGACATCAATTTATCTTTATATAACCAGGGCCTCCGTGGCACAATCGGCTATAGCGCATTCGGCTGTTATCCGAAGGTTCCCAGTGGTTTCAAAGGCCCTACCGGGGGCGAAACCGCCGCACGCCATACCAAAGTGGATGTTCGCGCACGAAATCCAGCACGTATATACCAACTGGGCATGTTGAACGCGCCTCATTTGCATTATCATTTTTTACAGTTCTGGTCTTTAAACCTTAGACATAACTTTTGCAAATAATAACTTTTTCCTGTTCCAAATTTTAAGCTCTTCAAGATTGACATCAATTTTTCTTTTTCTCTACTAAACAGATTCTCCGTGGCGCAATCGGCTGGCGCGTTCGGCTGTTAACCGAAGGTTGGTGGTTCGAACCCACCCGGGGCGAATCCTTTTGTCTAAAGTGGCTGTTCACTTTATGAAAATCCAGCACGTATAATACAAACTGAATACCATGTTACACATAGTATGCCATTGCATTATCATTTTTTACTGTTCTGGTATTTTTAAAGCCCAGACCTTAACTTTGCAAAAAATAACTTTTCCCTGTTACAAATTTTAAAGCTCTTCAAGATTGTGACATCAATTTTTCTTTTTTTTCTCTATAAACAGGAGGAACCTCCGCGACGCAGTAAGCTGGCAGGGTTCAGCTTCGCTGATTAACCGAAAGGTTGGTGTTTCGAGGCCACCCGGCGGCGAAACCATTTTTTATGCAAAGTGGCTGTTTACTTTTATGAAATCCAGCACGGCGCGGCAAACTGAATACCATGGTACCACATAGTATGCCATTGCATTATCATTTTTACTGTTCTGGTACTGTATGGAACATATCTTTTGCCAAAAAATAACTTTTCTATTACAAATTTTAAGCTATTCAAGATTGTGACATCAATTTTCTTTTATCTCTATAACAGAGCCTCCGTGGCGCAATCTGGCTAGCGCGTTCGGCTGTTAACCGAAAGGTTGGTGTAGTTCAGAGCTGGCGGGGCGAAAAGCTTTTAATAAGAAAGAGGCTGTTATATATACTATATATATATACTTTGTGAAAAGTCCAACACGTATAATATACAAACTCGAATACCATAATTTTTATAATTATGTCATTGCATTATCATTTTACAGTTCTTGTCTCTTTAAACCTTAGACATAACTTTTACCAAAAACGCATAACGCAATTTTGAAGCTCTTTAAGGTGTGGTATCAGGTGCCTATTTTTATCTCAGTTACCGACCTCCGTGGCGCAATCGTATAGCGCGTTCGGCTGTTAACCGAAAGGTTGGTGGTTACGAGCCCACCCAGGGGCGAAACACTTTTCGCCTGGTGACCTTCGCGAAATCCATATAAAGCCAAACTACGTTCACCATGTTACATAGTATGCCATTGCATTATCATTTTTACTGTTCTGGTATTTTTAAAGCAGACATAACTGCCAAAAATAACTTTCCTGTTACAATTTTAAGCTCTTCAAATATTGTGACATCAATTTGCTCCTTTTCTCTCTCTTTAGCCTCCCGCGGCGCAATCAGCTAAGCGCGGTCGGCTGTTAACCGGGATTGGTGGTTCCGGAAGGAAGAGCCCGCCGGGGAACGGAAACCCTTTTTATGCAAAATGGCTGTTCACTTTATGAAAATCAGCACGTATAAGCCTGAAGCCTGAATACCGTATTTTTATGGCGCATGTCATTGAATTATCGTTTTTACAGTTCTTGTCTTCAAACCTTAGACATATCTTTTGCAAAAAAATAACTTTTCCTCGGTACAAATTTAAGCTATTCAAAGGGTGGCAAACGCATCAATTTTTGCTGTAAGCTATAACATTAGCCTCCGTATGGCGCAATCGGCTAGCTTGCGTTTCTGTTTTGTTAACCAGAAAGGGTTGGTGAATTTCAGAACCCACTTCGGGGGCAGCTTTTCTAATGAAAGAGGCTATTTATATATATATATATACTTTGTGAAAGTCCAGCACGTATAATACAAACTCGAATACCATGTTACACATAGTATGTCATTGCATTATCATTTTTTACAGTTCTTGTCTTTAAACCTTAGACATAACTTTGCACCCAAAAAATAACTTTTTCCCTGTTACAAATTTTAAAGCTCTTCAAGATTGGCGACATCAATTTTTTCTTTTATCCTGAGTTACAGAGCCTCCGTGGCGCAATCGGCTGGTTCCGGCTAGCAGAAAGGTTCATTTAGTTTCGAGAGCCCACCGGGGGCGAAACTTAACTTTTTATGCAAAGTGGCTGTTCACTTTATAAAAATCCAGCACGTATAATACAAACTGAATACCATGTACATAGTATGTCATTTGCATTATCATTTTACTTTGTTCTGGTATTTTTAAAAGCTTGGAACGCCAACTTTGCAAAAATAGCACTTTTCCTATTACAAATTTTAAGCTCTTCATAGATTGTGACATCAATTTTTCTTTTCTATAACAGGCTTGCTCCGTGGCGCAATCAGCTGCTTGCCGTTCGGTTGTTAACCAGAAAGGTTAATTGGTTGAGCCCGCAGGGGGCGAAACCGCACACACCCATGCAAAGTGGATCTTCACTTTATGAAAATCCAGCACGTATAATACAAACTGAATACCATGTTACACATAGTTTGTCATTGCATTATCGTTTTTTACAGTTCTTGTCTTTAAACCTTAGACATATCTTTTACTTTAAAAATAACTTTTCCTATTTCAATTTTAAGCTATTCAAGATTGTGACATCAATTTTACTTTTATCTCTATATGAGCCTCCCGTGGCGCAATCGGCAGCGCGTTCGGCTGTTAACCGAAAGGTTGGTGGACAAAATTTTAATGAAGAGCTGTTTATGCACTCATATACACTTTTGTGAAAGTCAAGCACGTATAATACAAAACTCGAAGATACCATGTTACACATAGTATGTCATTGCATTATCATTTTTTACAGTTCTTGTCTTTAAACCTTAGACATAACTTTTGCAAAAATAACTTTTTCCTGTTACAAATTTTAAAGCTCTTTAAAGAGTGTGACATCAATTTTTCTTTTTATCTCAGTTACAGAGCCTCCGTGGCGCAATCGGCTGGCGTTGAAGCAGCTAACCGAAAGGTTAGTGTTCGAGAGCCACCCGGGGCAAACCCTTTTAATACCAAAGTGGCTGTTCGCTTTATAAATCCACGTATAATACAAACTGGAGAAATACCATGGTACGGTACGTAATTTATCGTTTTCACTGTTCTGGTATTTTTAAAGCTTAGACGCAGCGCGCGAAATGCTGCCACCTGTTACAAATTTTAAAGCTCTTCAAATATTGTGACATCAATTTTCTCTTTTTCTCTATAACAGGCCTCCGCGGCGCAATCGTAGCGCGGTCGGCTGTTAACCAAAGTTGGTGGACAGAGCTGAGACGCTTTTAATGCCGAAATGGCTGTTCACTTTAGCAGAAAATCAAGCGCATTATAATACAAACTGAATACCATGTTACCACATAGTATGTCGGCTGCGTTATCGTTTTACAGTTCTTGTCTTTAAACCTTAGACATATCTTTGCAAAAAATAACTTTTCCCTGTTACAAATTTTAAGCTATTCAAAGATTGTGACATCAAATTTCTTTTATCTCTATACTTGTAGCCTCCAGTGGCGCAATCGGCTAGCGCGTTCGGCTGTTAACCGAAAGGTTGTTGAGTGGTTTCGAGCCACCCGGGGCAAAAGCTTTTAATGAAAGAGCTATTTATGTATATATATATACTTTGTGAAAGTCCAGCACGTATAATACAAACTCAAATACCATATTGCCCACATAGTATGTGTTGCATTTATCATTTTTACAGTTCTTTTTCTTTAAACCTTAGACATAACTTTGCAAAAATAACTTTTCCTGTTACAAATTTTAAGCTCTTCCCCAAAGATTGTGACATCAATTTTCTATTTTTATCTCAGTTACAGAGCACTCCATTGGCGCAATCGGCTAACGCGTTCGGCTGTTAACCGAAGGTTGGTGGTTTCGAGGCCCACCCGGGGAGCGAAACCGCTTTATGCAAAGTGGCTGTTCACTTTATGAAAATCCAGCACGTATAATACAAACTGAATACCATGTTACACATAGTTTGTCATTGCATTATCGTTTTTTACAGTTCTTGTCTTTAAACCTTAGACATATCTTTGCAAAAAATAACTTTTCCCTGTTACAAATTTTAAGCTATTCAAAGATTGTGACATCAATTTTACTTTTATCTCTATAACAGAGCCTCCGTGGCGCAATCGGCTAGCGCGTTCGGCTGTTAACCGAAAGGTTGGTGGTTCGAGCCCACCGGGGCAGAAACACTTTATGCAAAAGTGGCTGTTCCTTTATGAAATTCAACACAGTATAATACAAGGCTTCAGAATACCATATTTACACATGGTAATGCCATTTGGGGTATCATTTTTTGCTGTTCTGGTATTTTTAGAAACTAGACATAACTTTGCAAAAATAGCTTTTCCTGTTACAAATTTTAAGCTCTTCCAAATATTGTGACATCAATTTTCTTTTCTCTATAACAAGAGCCTCCGCGGCGCAATCGGCTAGCGCGGTCGGCTGATAAGCAAGGTTGGTGGCTGAGCCACCCGGGGCGAAACCATACCCATGCAAAATGGCTGCCAATTTCACTGTGAAAATCCAGCACGTATAATACAAAACTGAATACCATGTTGCATGAAAAGTATGTCATTGAATTATCGTTTTTACAGTTCTTGTCTTTAAACCTTAGACATATCTTTGCAAAAAAATAGCACTTTCCCCTGTACGCAAAATTTTAAACTATTCAAAGATTGTGACATCAATTTGCTCTTTATCTCTATAACTTGTAGCCTCCCGTGGCGCAATCGGCTAGCGCGTTCGGCTGTTAACCGGGTTAATTGGTTCAGGCCCCACACCGGGGCAGCACCAGCCGAAAGAGCTATTTATGTATATATATATGCTGGCCAGAAAGTCCAGCACGTATAATACAAACTCGAATACATATTTACACGCAAGTATGTCATTGCATTATCATTTTTACAGTTCTTTTCTTTAGAAGCATGAACATAACTTTGCAAAAATAACTTTTCCCTGTTACAAATTTTAGCTCTTCAAAGATTAGCGACATCAATTTTTCTTTTATCTCAGTTACAGAGCCTCCGTGGCGCAATCGGCCTAAGCGCGTTCGGCTGTTAACCGAAGGTTGGTTCCGACCCACCCGGGGCAGAAACCAGCACACCATCTGAAAGTGGCTGATGCACTTTATGAAAATCCAGCACGTATAATACAAACTGGAGTCACCATATTTACACATGGTATGCGTAGGTATATTTTACTGTTCTGGTATTTTTAAAGCTTAGACATAACTTTGCAAAAAATAACTTTTTCCCTGTTACAAATTTTAAGCTCTTCAAATATTGTGACATCAATTTTTCTTTTTTCTCTATAACAGAGCCTCCGCGGCGCAATCGGCTAGCGCGGTCGGCTGTTAACCGAAAGGTTGGTGGTTCGAGCCCACCCGGGGGCGAAACCCTTTTTTATGCAAAATGGCTGTTCACTTTATGAAAATCCAGCACGTATAGCCTAAGGCTGAACACCATTACACATAGCAGCCTTAGGTGATTATCGTTTTTACCCGGTTCTTGATGCTGAAACCTTGGTATACTTTAAAATACTTTTCCTCTTATTACAAATTTTAAACATTCAAGATTGGCGACATCAAATTTCTTTATCTACTATAACATAGCCTCCGTACGATGGCTGTGCCCGTTCGGCAAACCCGAAAAGGTTGGTGGTTCAGAGCCCAGGGGCAGCTTTTAATAGAAAAAAGAGGCTATTGTAGCGCCGCCATATACTTTATTTGAAAGTCCAGCACGTATAATACCAAACTCAGATACCATATTTACACATAATTATGTCATTGCATTATCATTTTTTACAGTTCTTTTCTTTAAACCTTAGACATAACTTTGCAAAAAATAACTTATTCCCTGTTACAAAGTTACTTTAAAGCTCATCTTCTGCAAGATTGTGACATCAATTTTCTTTTATCCTCAGTTACAAGAACCTCCGTGGTACCAATCAGGTAGCACGTTTGAAACATTTGGCAAAGAAGGTTGATGCGGTTCGAACCCCGGGGCGAAACCCTTTATGCAAAATGGATGTTCACTTTATGAAAATCCTACGTATATCTAAAATGAATACCATATTACACATGGTATGTCATTGCATTATCATTTTTTACTGTTCTGGTATTTTTTAAAGCTTTGGGCATAACACCGCAAAAAATAACTTTTTCCTATATTACAAATTTTAAAGCTCTTCAAATATTGTGACATCAATTTTCCTTTTTTCTCTATAACAGAGCCTCCCGTGAAGCAATCTGGCTAGCGCATTCGGCATTATCCGAAAGGTTAATTAGTTTCCAGGCCTACCGGGGGCGAAACCCTTTTTTATGCAAAGTGGATGTTCACTTTATGAAAATCCAGCACGTATAATACCAACTGAATAACTTGTAATTAGACACCAGGTAATGTCATTGCATTATCATTTTTTACAGTTCTGGTCTTTTTGGAAACGCCAGACGCATAACTTTTGCAAATAATAGCACTGCAATTTCAAATTTAAATATTTTGAATTTGAGACATCAATTTTTCTTTTTCTCGCGGTTCTCCGTGGCTGCGTCGGCTGGCGCGTTCGGCTGTTAACCGAAGGTTGGTGGTTCAGCGAGCCCACCAGGGGCAGATCCCTTTTATGCAAAGTGGCTGATTTCACTTTATGAAGAATCAACGTATAATACAAACTGAATACCATGTTACATGGTATGCCATTGCATTATCATTTTACTGTTTTAAAAGCAGACATAACTTTTGCAAGAAAATAACTTTTTCCCTGTTACAAATTTTAAGCTCTTCAAAGATTGTGACATCAATTTTTCTTTTTTCTCTATAACAGAACCTCCGCGACGCAATCGGCTAGCGAGTTCGGCGGTTAACCGAAAGGTTGGTGGTTCGAGCTCACCCGGGGACGAAACCCTTTTTTATGCAAAGTGGCTGTTTACTTTATGAAAATCCAGCACGTATAATACAAACTGAATACCATGTTACACATAGTATGCCATTGCATTATCATTTTTTACTGTTCTGGTATTTTTAAACCTTAGGGCCTTATGTTGCAAAAATAACTTTCCCTATTTACAAATTTTAAAACTCTTTAAAGATTGTGACATCAATTTTCTTTTATCTCTATAACAGAGCCTCCGTGGCGCAATCGGCTAGCGCGTTCGGCTGTTAACCGAAAGGTTGGTGGTTCGAGCCAACCCGGGGGCGAAAGCTTTTTAATGAAAAGGGGCTAGTTATATATATATATATACTTTGTGAAAGTCTACAGCGCGTACCAGAGCCTCGCTGGTACCATGACTACATAGTATGTCATTGCATTATCATTTTTTACAGTTCTTGTCTTAGGCAGACATAACTTTGCAAAAATACTTTCCCTGTTACAAATTTTTAAGCTCTTCAAGATTGTGACATCAATTTTTTTTATCTCAGTTGCAGGCCTCCGTGGCGCAATCGGCTAGCGCGTTCGGCTGTTAACCGAAAGGTTGGTGGTTCGAGCTCACCCGGGGCGAAACCCTTTTATATGCAAAGTGGCTGTTCACTTTATGAAAATCCAGCACGTATAATACAAACTGAATACCATGTTACACATAGTATGTCATTGCATTATCATTTTTTACTGTTCTGGTATTTTAAACTTAGACATAACTTTGCAAAAATAACTTTTTCCTGTTACAAATTTTAAGCTCTTCAAAGATTGTGACATCAATTTTCTTTTCTCTATAACAGACCTCCGTGGCGCAATCGGCACGCGTTCGGCTGTTAACCGAAAGGTTGGTGGTTCGAGCCCACCCGGGGGCGAAACCCTTTTTTATGCAAATGGATGTTCACTTTATGAAAATCCAGCACGTATAATACAAACTGAATACCATGTTACACATAGTATGTCATTGCATTTATCATTTTTACAGTTCTGGTTTTTTAAAGCTTAGACATAACTTTGCAAAAAATAACTTTTCCCTGTTACAAATTTTAAGCTCTTCAAAGATTGTGACATCAATTTTTCTTTTCTCTATAACAGAGCCTCCGTGGCGCAATCGGCTAGCGCGTTCGGCTGTTAACCGAAAGGTTGGTGGTTCGAGCCACCCGGGGAAGCAGAAAAGCTTTTATGAAATATGATGTTACTTTATGAAAATCAGACGTATAATACAAACTCGAATACATGTTACACCTAGTATGTCATTGCATTATCATTTTACGTTCTGGTCTTTAAACCTTAGACATAACTTTGCAAATAATAACTTTTTCCCTGTTCCAAATTTTAAGCTCTTCAAAGATTGTGACATCAATTTTTCTTTTTCTCATTACAGAGCCTCCGTGGCGCAATCGGCTAGCGCGTTCGGCTGTTAACCGAAAGGTTGGTGGTTCGAGGCCACCCGGGGCGAAACCTTTTTATGCAAAGTGGCTGTTTACTTTATGAAAATCCAGTACGTATAATTTCACTGAATCCATGTTACACCTAGTATGTCATTGCATTATCCTTTTTACTGTTCTGTATTTAAACTTAGAATAACTTGCAAATAATAACTTTTCCTGTTCAAATTTTAAGTCTTCAAAAATTGTGACATCAATTTTTCTTTTTCTCATTACAGAGCCTCCGTGGCGAAATCGGCTAGCGCGTTCGGCTGTTAACCGAAAGGTTAGTGGTTCCGAGCCCAACCGGGCGAAACCTTTTAAAGAAAAGGGCTGTTATATTTAAAATCCAGACGTATAATACAAACCGAATCCATGTTACACCTAGTATGTCATTGCATTATCATTTTTACTGTTCTTTTTTTAAATTTGACATAACTTTGCAAAAATAACTTTTTTCCCGTTCAAATTTTAAGCTCTTCAAAGATTGTGACATCAATTTTCTTTTCTTTAAAGACCCTCCGTGGCGAATCGGGCCTTGGTTACCGAAAGGTTGGTGTTCGAGCCACCCGGGGCGAACCTTTTGAAAGGTTTACTTTTGAAAATCAACTATAATACAAACTGAATACATGTTACACTAGTATGTCTTGATTATCATTTTTACGTTCTGTTTAAACCAATAATTCAAATAACTTTTTCCTTTCCAATTTTAGCTCTAAAGATTTGACACAATTTTTTTTTCTCAAAGAGCCTCCGTGGCGATCGGCTGCGCGTTCGGCGTTAACGAAGTGTGTTCGACCCCGGGCGAACCCTTTTATAAAGGGTGTTACTTTATGAAACAGCAGTATAATAAACTGAATCCATGTTACTAGATGTTTGCTATTTTTACGTTTGGTTTTAAACAGACATAACTTTGCAAAAATAACTTTTCCTGTTCAAATTTAAGCTTTCAAAGATTGATAATTTTCTTTTTTCTTACAGAGCCGTGGGGCACCGGTTGTTACCGAAAGGTTGGGGTTTGAGCCCACCCGGGGCGAAACTTTTATGCAAAGAGCTGGATGTTCACTTATATGAAAATCCAGCACGTATAATACAAACTGAATACCATGTTACACATAGTATGCCATTGCATTATCATTTTTTACTGTTCTGGTATTTTTAAAGCTTAGACATAACTTTGCAAAAAATAACTTTTTCCCTGTTACAAATTTTAAGCTCTTCAAAGATTGTGACATCAATTTTTCTTTTTTCTCTATAACAGAGCCTCCGTGGCGCAATCGGCTAGCGCGTTCGGCTGTTAACCGAAAGGTTGGTGGTTCGAGCCACCGGGCAGAAACGCCTTTTAATGCAAAGTGGCTGTTCACTTTATGAAAATCCAGCACGTATAATCACAACTGAATACCATGTTACACATAGTATGTCATTGCATTATCATTTTTTACAGTTCTGGTCTTTAAACCTTAGACATAACTTTGCAAATAATAACTTTTTCCCTGTTCCAAATTTTAGCTCATGAAAGATTGTGACATCAATTTTTCCTTTTTGCTCAAACAGAGCCTCCGTGGCGCAATCGGCTAGCGCGTTCGGCTGTTAACCGAAAGGTTGGTGGTTCGAGCCCACCCGGGGCGAAAGCTTTTTAATGAAAAGAGGCTGTTTATATACTTTATGAAAATCCAGCACGTATAATACAAACTGAATACCATGTTACACATAGTATGTCATTGCATTATCATTTTTTACTGTTCTGGTATTTAA